GTTAAAAATATATATATATTGAATCACTTCAGTCAGTTTAGTTTAGTCACTCAGTCGTGTCCGACTCTTTGCGACCCCATGAATTGCAGCACGCCAGGCCTCCCTGTCCATCACCAACTCCCGGAGTTTACTCAAACTCATGTCCATCGAGTCGGTGATGCCATCCAGCCATCTCATCCTCTGTCGTCCCCTTCTCCTCCTGCCCTCAATCCCTCCCAGCATCAGGGTCTTTTCCAATGAGTCAACTCTTCGCATGGAGTGGCCAAAGTATTGGAGTTTCAGCTTCAGCATCAGTCCTTCCAATGAACACCCAGGACTGGTCTCCCTTAGGGTGGACTGGTTGGATCTCCTTGCAGTCCAAGGGACTCTCAAGAGTCTTCTCCAACACCACAATTCAAAAGCATCAATTCTTTGGTGCTCAGCTTTCTTCACAGTCCAACTCTCACATCCATACATGACTACTGGAAAAACCATAGCCTTGACCAGACAGACCTTTGTTGGCAAAGTAATGGCTCTGCTTTTTAATATGCTATCTAGGTTGGTCATAACTTTCTTTTCAAGGAGTAAGGATCTTTTAATTTCATGGCTGTAGTCAGCATCTGCAGTGATTTTGGAGACCCCCAAAATAAAGTCTGCCCGTTTCCACTGTTTCTCCATCTATTTGCCATAAAGTGATGGGACCAGATGCCATGATCTTAGTTTTCTGAATGTTGAGCTTTAAGCCAACTTTTTCAGTCCCCTCCTTCACTTTCATCAAGAGGCTTTTTAGTTCCTCTTCACTTTCTGCCATAAGGGTGTTGTCATCTGCATATCTAAGATTATTGATATTTCTCCCAGCAATCTTGATTCCAGCTTGTGCTTCTTCCAGCCCAGCATCTCTCATGATGTTCTCTGCATAGAAGTTAAATAAGCAGGGTGACAATATACAGCCTTGACGTACTCCTTTTACCATTTAAAAAAGTCAGGAAAGGTTCTCATGAACCCTTCTTAAGGAAACGAATAGAGCATAAACTTCAGCAAAGAGAAATGACTACAAAAGACTGGTTCCATTTAACAGAATAAAATATAGGAATGAAACAATATGAATAGCATATGAACTGGCAATATAGAACTGGTACAACCACCAAAAAATGGGAAGAAAAAGAGGAAAAAACTCCAGGAAGTAGATTAAGCTTGCTGATTGTTTCATTAGAAGCTAAGTATTAAATATTATCTGAAGCAGATATATTAAATAAAAAACACTGTAAGGATAGTACTTAATGAAAAGGTAAATCCTAAGAAAGATAATCCTATTGACCAATACTAGGTGGTAAAGGAAAGGGGGCAAAAAGGAGAAAAAAGAAAAGAAAACATTCGTCAGTAGAATTAATAGCTATGTCTAAAGTGGACTAGGGATATTGTATACACTTATAACTTTAAAAGTAAACTTTAGAATAAAGAGAGAAACCTTTCTTATCTCAAAAGTACTGCATGGAATAGCAAAGGAAACACATAGTGACTTTAAAAATTAAAATGGGAAAGCAAAATATGACAGATTAAGCAAACTATCACATCAATGAAGGTAAATAGATTTAATTTTATATTCAGAGAAAAAATTTTCAGACACAAAACAAACTCCTTCCACTTAAGAGAACACTTCAAAGTAAGTAAAAATAAAAGTATATGCAAAGGTTATCAGATAATGCAAACAAAATGTGAGGGCAGAGGGACTTCATACCAGATAAGGTAGAGGTCATAAACAAAATAGACATAGGCATACTCCTTATCATTTGAAAAGGTGCGATACCCAATAAATATATGAATATTATGATTATCTCTGCATAACAACCATAACATTAATATTCATAAAGTTAAGGCCACATGAGATAAAAAGCCAAAAAGATAAAATAGTGATGAGACTTTGTTAATTTCTTACTCCATGATAGATTAATTGTATAAAAATGAGGGTATAAAGGATATAAAATAAACAATGAGGCTCAGCCAACTGGTTTTAAATTCTTTACCCTGAAAACCATTTTAAGTACTGATTAAACACTAAAAAATTAACCATTTGTTATGCTAAATTTCAAAAACAAAAAGTGCAACTTAGACACCACTTTCTAGTCACAATGCTGTTTGTTAGGTTTTGCTAAGAAAATCAGAAAACAAAACTTAACTGGAAAATTTTGCATTTCTTCTTAAATCATTTGGGTCAATGGGAAAAATAAAGTAAAAATTGCATACTTTCTAGAAAACTACAAAAATGAAAAATCACACAAAATGAAAATAATACATCAAATCTGTGGGATACAGCTAAGGCAGTATTTAGAAAATGTACTACTTAAGTACTATGAATAAGTAATCATCTCTAGAAACTAGAAAAAGAATCAAATCAAATGAAAATAAGAAAAAATAATAAAGATAGATGCAGAAAATGATATAGAAAGCAGACAAAAGATAATAGAAAGGATAAACAAATCCAAGGCTCTACTTTTGAAATAAGCAATAGTTACCCTTAAGAACAAATAGACCAAAATATTCAAAATTGGAAATTTTAAGAGAGAATCTGAAATAGGGAAACAAAAATAATTTCAAGGGAATATTATGATGATTTCTGAAAACTACATTTGGAGCCTAAAAGGAACTTATTTCCTAAAAATATAAATTTTAAAAAATTGATTCAAGAGGTAGTTTAAATTTTGAGTAAATTAACTGACATGAAAGAAATTAGGGTGAATGAAGAGCTATCAGTGAAAAGGCCAACATGATAACCTTTATTTACAACTGAGTGTTATTTAACTTTTGAGAAAGAAATTTAAAGGAATTTAAGCTGCTCTAGGCCATAAAAATTAAAGTCTTACATTATAGTCGTATAAAGATAGTATAATATGGAAAAACCACAAACCAGTCTTAATTAATGCAGTGTCTATATATAAAATACTCAACGATCAGTAAGGTATTAAAAGAATAAAATACAATGATCAAGTAGGTTTTATTTTAGGAATGTAAGGATGGTTCAAAAATTAAATTTTTTTTGAGTAGTAAATGCTTAAAACATTTGATTTTTACAAAGCCTAGCTATTTGTCATAAAAACTCAGAATTGAAGGAAATATATATGTATATGTATATTAGAATTGAAGGAAGCATTTATACTATGTGAATATGTATATAAATATTGAAAAGATGTATACTGAAGTTTTAAAATAATACTTTCTCTAGTATTTCATTCTAATAGAATCAGAAATTTGAGGTAGTAGATAGCAGGGGTTAAATACAAAGATTGGTTTTCTCTGGCAAGTAGCAGCCCTAGATATCATACCGCATAAATCGGACTTTTTGTTTGTGTAAAAGTAGCTGATCTGGCATCATAGAATGATAACTTTCACACACTCTATTATTATATATACTTTAAGCATTGTGATTTTCATATTAGCAGTGTTTCTTCCATAGTTTATTTCTTGAATTGAGAATACCCTTAGAGGCAGTTAGCATTGAGAACACCCAAAGTCACAGATAAGCCCTTACGTTATGTTTCAGAAGTGTAAATTTTCCCTGAAGACTGGGAATGGTCTAGCTGGCAATACATGTCTTATATTAAAGCAAATACCCATACTATGGAATAAAATTAAAATCTTTTATGAATCATTTTAAAACATGAGACATCAGCTTTTTTTTTTTGCATGTTTTTATGGGGCCTCTTTAAAGTATTCCCCCAAATTCCTGGAGATGCATATAATTTATAACTGTTGTTAGGAATATTTGGGTGGACATCTGTCACAGTATTTCCAGTTTGTAATAAACATGAGTTATCAAATATCTACTAATCTCTTATGAAAGGATAACTAAGATGGTGTGTAATCTTGCTGGCTAATTTTCAAAAATCTTAATTTTTCCTCACTTATAGTTGTAAATGAATTGTTCTTTAACGTGCAGTGATACAACTGGGAAATTTATCACCTAAAGAATAATAAAGATCACGACTATTTAAGCTGTTCTGTATCTTTGAGGAGATTTATTATTTTTTACAAATGGTATATAATTTTGTTGGACTCTAGGGGTACATGTTTCATCTGTTCAGATTTGGGTGGGGCAAATTCATTCATTCAGAAATTATAGAAAAGTTTGAAGAGAGGTATAATAGATAATATAATAGGTATAATAGATATTCTAAGCAGACATAGAATCCATCTTTCAAGAGTTTATAATTGGGTAAGGGAGATAAGCAGTATACTATCAATAATATTACAATGAAAACTAGAAAAATCATAATTATAAAATATATGTAAAACCTATATTTTAATAAAAATTATTAAGAAAGTCTATAAATTATTTGGATTAAGAATTACTGTGGAGGACCCAGACAAAATAGAACAGAGGGAAATATGGAAGAGAGAGAAAAATATACAGTCATCAGCAGCCGTAAGAATTTCAGTTGTCTTGTCCAGAAGTTTTCAGGGTACTGGGTAATTTATGTGTAGCACACACTTAAGGAATTAGGCATAGGGAGGGCTCTTATGTAACTTGCAAATTATTGGAAGGCTAAAGAGAAAACAGCCTGAAAAATTATAGTTTAAATGGGTGTGTGAACTTAATTTATAAAATGGTTTCCAAACTTAAAATTTCTTTTTGTAAGTATGTCTCCAGTTTCTCTTTATCAAAGAAGTCCTAAAATTTTAAATTCTAAATTAAAGAAGTAAATGACCATCTGGGAATCTTGGAACATGTACATTCATTGGAGTAACAAATAAGTTTCCTAACTGGAAGAATGAAAGAACATTTATTAAATTTTGGGCATAGGGATATTGGGGTGTGTGTGTTTCAGATGATAAAGAATAACATTTTACTCTCCCTTTCCATACCTCTCATTATCTAGACATTAGTTATTGATAGAGCATGTTTATTTTAGGGATTACTATTGATACCTACAAGGAAGATTTTCTCATACTCAAACATTTATATGAACACATGAATGCCTAAGAGTAAGATTCTTTCTCTCTTTCTCTCTCTTTTTAATTTCCAGGCATAGATATTCTTCATCAACTAGGCCTTGGAGGCAAAGATATAAGACACTCTTCATCAGTGACTGCTGTACCACCATCATCTATACCATTACCTCAGGGGGTCCATGTAACAGAATTTGGTGTCATTTTAACAAACAATTCCTGTATTGAATCACCTCTTGTGAAAATTTTACCAGTCAATTTAGAGCAGCCATTTACAATATTAATTGGGTTACAGTCATATAGAGTAAACAATGCATTTCTCTTCAGCATTAGAAGTAAAAATAGACTGCAATTAGGAGTACAGTTATTGCCTAAAAAGTTAGTGGTGTACCTTGGAGGAAAGCAGTCTGTCTTTTTCAACTACAGCGTTCACGATGCACGGTGGCACTCATTTGCCATTGCAGTTAGCAACCAAGTTGTCTCAATGTTTGTTGAATGTGGAAAGAAATATTTTAGCAGAGAGACTCTTTCGGAAGTTCAGACCTTTGATTCTAACAGTGTGTTTACCTTGGGAAGTACGAATAATAATTCTGTCCATTTTGAAGGAGTAGTGTGTCAGTTGGATATTATTCCTTCTGCAGAAGCATCTGCAAACTATTGCAGATATGTGAAACAGCAGTGTCGCCCTGAGACAAGTCTTCCTCATGCAACTATTGCATCAACTAAGATACCGGAAAACTCTCTCCTGCCCAAAAGATTGGGTGAAAAAGTACTGTCGCAGGACACACTTACTGAAAACAAAAGTGTTCTAGATTTCCCAAATAAAGATTCTGTGGCAGTGAATAAACAACAAAAACACCAGATATCAAGACCTCAGTTAACTTCTCTTCATTCAGGGAATATCTCTGCTATGGATCTTGTGAACCGTGTGATTCAGACCAAAGAATTGATCACTAAGCAACTTACTCAGGCAAATTTAAGCCTGCCAATGTCCCATCATAGCCTCAATGAGCCAAGGAAAAAAAACAAGGATAAATTTATTTCTCTTCTAAATGTCTCGGACAATATCACACAACATAATGATAAAGTAACTGGTCTGTCACCACTTAAGAAGATATCATCTAGTCTTCCACATATAAAACAAGATACAATTAAGAATCTCAAGAAGGCTATCACAGCAAATCTGCACACTAATGAACTTATAGAACTGCAGCAGATTTTAAACACAACCTTATACAGAGTGACAGATGAGCCATCTGTGGATAATCACCTTGATCTAAGGAAGGAAGGTGAATTTGATCCTGATGCTACTTATCCCATCGAAAATAGCTATGAAACTGAGCTTTATGATTATTATTATTATGAGGATCTTAATACAGTGCTCGAAACGGAGAATCTAAGAGGGCCAAAAGGGGACACTGGACCTCCCGTAAGTTATTATTTTTAAAATATGTCTTAATGCACGAATTTACCATACATTTCAAAAAGAATTCTCTAGGCTGAACAATATAGAACAGATCTGTCTTAAGCATGTAGCCTGGCTTACTGTGAGTGGATTCATGGTTGCTCTAATATATCCAACCAGAATGCTCCTCGGGCTCAAATGTACTTTTTTAAAACTATTGGCTAGCTCAGAAGGTTACTTAATTCTGGTAAAGTGGTGAGTAAGCTATGTTTTTCTTGTTCAGTTGAAATTCAATCAGGAATTGAGTTGCTAAATACAGATCAGCATTCTATTTTATTAAAAAACTGTAGGCTTAGTCATGTTAAGAGAGAGTATTAAAGTTATGGTAGACTAAATAACAATACTTTGAATACATTATTAAATGTATTTCCAGCAAAGTAATATCATCTGAATTAAAAGAATATTACCTTTTAGATAGAGATAATTTTATAATGAGTCATTGGGGAAAAGCACACCCTTATATTATGGAAATTAAAATATTTCACTTAGGATTATAAAGAGTAACATATTTCATTATATCTTCCATGATATGACCAATTTACATTTATAAGTTAATAGAAGTTCCATCTACCTCATGCAAAAATAGCCACTCCGCAGTCCATTCAGTAGGAAAAAAGCCAAGTCACTTCCTTAGTAATTCATTAACAAAGCTATGAGATAATAGATTGATTATTTTAGCTCTGAAATTCTTGCACATAGGTGCAAGAATTCTTGCATAATTCTTGCATAATTCACATAGGTGCAATTACAGATGGGTGATTTTTAAATCATTTAAGACTCATTTAAAGCTATTTAAAATCACATTAGAAACATGTTTTTGCCTTTCATATTTTGAATACCTTTAAACAATCAACTTATATATATCTTTAGAAATCTTTTTTTAAATTGTAAGCAGAATAAAATATATCTTAGGATATTTCTTGATTTGATGGAAGTAAAATTTGAGACATTTGTTTAGTTCCAGAAACCATAGAACAAGAGATGTTCTTAGCTTGTGTTTCTTTCATGGTTATTATTCAAAGTAACTTGACAGTAACTTGACAGGTATTGAGCAATGCTTAAGGTGAGTGTTTAAAGGATTTAATAAAATCAGAAGAATGTATTATAGAGAAATAACTTTTCAACTATGACAGTTATCAAAATACTAGTAGTAAAATTGAGCCACTAGGCAGGTCATATTAAACAGTTAAGGAAGCTGTTTAGTTTCTTCAAAAAAATGTCACAGATGAGTATTAATCCCTGCTCTAAATCCAGAAACAGTTATTTCAGCATTGGTTGGTAGGTGAAGCAATAATACTCCGCAGATACTTTCTTAGTCTCTCCTATGGGCAAAGCAGAAACATAAATTGTGTAAAACAGAGTCACTGCTCAGGAGATTACATTGTGGTAATGGTGATACAGAAGTACATTTATAACCTTGCCTCGTGGTCAGGTAAGATATATGCCCCTGAGAGATGCAAACTAAACATGTGGAGTACACATTTTCAAAGGTAAGAAAAAAATTTTTGAGGAGAACTCTTTGAAAGATCCCTTAAGGCTGAGCTGTTCAGGATAGGTTCTTGTGGGCAGACTTAGAACCTAGACCTCAAAGAATGGATATGATTTTGATAGGTAAAAGAAACTGTTTTATCTTTTATGTAGGAAAAACAGCAAAATCGCTATAATTTATTGAGATTTTTACCTGTGGCAGGAACTGTGCCATGCCCCTTATGTTTATTTTCTCAGAAAAACTTGGTACGTTTGGTATTATTACCCTCATTTTTCAGGTGGAGAAACTGAAGCCCAGAGTAATTTGTTTGCTTGTTCATAACCACATGCCAATAAATGATAGACCCAGGATTTTGACCCTAGAGGTAGGTTTTCTGCCTCTAAAAGTCAAACTCTTTCACAATATGAGGCTGAGTAATGGTAGATAAATGTAAGGCCAAGGTAGACCTATACAGGTTGTAGAGGTCTCAATTTTCAAACTGATAGTTCTGACTTTATCTTGTTCTCAGTGGGGAATTTTGTAGGTTTCTAAGAGGTATGTAGCAGAGGTATGAATAGGGAAGTCAGTCTGGTGGCAGTGCCCAGAACAGATAGGAAATTCCTGTTATCATCTGGATATTACAAAACTAGGGCATTATCTAGGATGACAGCAGTGAAAATGCAAAAGAAAAGTAGCATTCAAGAAATATCTTGAAGGAAGGTTTGGTAGAACTAGGAAATTAATTGGACTTATGGACCAAGGATGGGGAATACATGTAAATCCGTGGCTAATTCATTTCAATGTATGACAAAAACCACTGCAATGATGTAAAGTAATTAGCCTCCAACTAATAAAAATAAATGGAAAAAAAATGCATACACAGCTCATACAACTCATAAAAAAAAAAAAAAAGAAAAGAAAGAGGATCAAGGTGGCTCTAAGATTTTAAGCCTGTGGGTTGAAAAACTGGTGATAACAATAGAAGAACCAATAATTAAAACAGGAAGTTGATTTTAGGAGAAGAAACCAAGTTAAAACATTTAAGGTGCTGTTGGCAAATCAGTAAGCTGTTGAAAGAGCTGAAGAAGGTGAAGTGAAAAGAGAAGTCAACATAGGGGGTATAGATTATGGGAGTTTTCTCATCAGTATTATAGAGTCAAGAAATTTGCAAGGAAAGGACTTGGCATAGAGTTAAGAGCCAAATTGTAAGGAATGTTTGCTTTGTGGTTATAGAAGGAAAAACAAAGCAGAAATATGACAGGATAGACAGCTGGGACAGAACAATATAGTTAGTGTTAGTCGCTCAGTCGTATCTGACTCTTTGTAACCCCATGGTAGCCTGCCAGGCTCCTCTGTCCATGGACTTCTCCAGGCAAGAATAGTGGTGTGGGAGCCATTCTTTTGTCCAGGGGATCTTCCCGACCCAGGGTCGGGATCAAACCCAGGTCTCCTGCATTGCAGGCAGATTCTTTACTGCCTGAGCCACCAGGGAAGCCCATAATATAGTATCATAAAAGCCAAAGATGAGAATTTTGAGAAGAAATTGATCAGTGGTGCTGAAAGCTAAAGACTGAGAAAAAGTAGAGGAAATCCTTTGGATCTTCTGGTGGGAAAGTTGTTATTGAACTTTGATAATGATTTCAGCATAGTGTAGAAGTCTAAAGGTAAATTTTAGAAAGTGTATGAGAGAGTAAATGGTGATGAAATGATGCACTTTGTAGAGATTTTGCAACTGCTTCTTGAAGTAGATTAAGCCTGAGGACAGCCTGATCCTTCCTACTTGCTGGTGCCTGTTTTACATCTACATACCCTTGTTCTTTTGATATCTTTGAAGTTCATTTCACTAAAACTATTAGGTTCTGTGTCAGTTTTTTCTGGTACTCTTTTGATCTGAAGTTTTGTTTTTTTTCTTTTCTACTTATTAAAGAAACATCTCTCCTTGTATTGTCAGGTATTTTTCTTATCCATTTTTCTATATTCTTCAGGCACACCAGTATACATGTGTTAAAAGTCCTTTGTGATGATAGTATTTATTATCTTCTCTACAATGATGTCCATGTGTTTGCCTTTTTCCATTTTATTTTATGTAAATTCAGTTAACTGCATCCATATTCCTTAACTGATTTTTTCAATTGTGGTCAGCTGTTATTGCTTCTGATGTGGATTTAGTCTATAATTCTTTCTTTTTTTTGCTTTTTCAATCTTTAAGCTCTTTTGGCTCACATTTCATTAACTTAGTTATTATTTTTGTCTTTTATGACTCTTCTTTGAGCTCTTTTTGTAGAAAAACAGCATCTTGAAATTCTTTGGATTTATAATGAACTATATGCAATTCTTTCTCTGCATGGAGTAATCCTTTTCTGGTAAAAAAATTTACATCTACTTTTAATTTATGTTTCTGTTCTCACACTTCCCCCCTCCCCTCAAAATGTATAGGTCCCTTGCTGGTTTCTTTCTGGTTATTGCTCATTTTTTAAAATAGAGACAATTGTATTTGGGCCACTATGTGTTTTAGAATGGTATCAGTCAGTTCATTTCAGTCTCTCAGTCGTGTCCAACTCTTTGCGACCCCATGAATCGTAGCATGCCAGGCCTACCTGTCCATCACCAACTCCTGGAGCTTACTCAAACTCATGCCCATCGAGTTGGTGATGCCATCCAGCCATCTCATCCTCTGTCGTCCCCTTCTCCTCCTGCCCCCAATCCCTCCCAGCATCAGGGTCTTTTCCAATGAGTCAACTCTTCGCATGGAGTGGCCAAAGTATTGGAGTTTCAGCTTCAGCATCAGTCCTTCCAATGAACACCCAGGACTGATCTCCTTTAGGATGGACTGGTTGGATCTCCTTGCAGTCCAAGGGACTCTCAAGAGTCTTCTCCAACACCACAATTCAAAAGTATCAATTTTTCGGTGCTTAGTTTTCTTTATAGTCCAACTCTCACATCCATACATGACCACTGGAAAAACTATATCCTTGACCAGATGGACCTTTGTTGGCAAAGTAATGTCTCTGCTTTTTAATATGCTATCTAGTTTGGTCATAACTTTCCTTCCAAGGAGTAAGTGTCTTTTAATTTCATGGCTGCAGTCACCATCTGCAGTGATTTTGGAGAATGGTATAGGAAGAGGCAAAAGGGAGTAAGGTGGAGTATACACAGCATCAAATTTAAGTTGCTGCCTTCAATGCCATCTTTCGATATGTATTTTGTCCTCTACCCAGAAATGTATCTCCTCTCATTTTCATGCACATGAGCCCTCTGTATCAGTCTGAGAAGTGATATGATGATTTATACTCTTGTCTTTTACCTCCTCCCTCCACCAGAAATCTCCTGAGGTTAGGAGATTTATTGTAGATCATAAAAATGATGGGTTCTTCCTTTTCAGCTCTACCTTCCTTACTCTTGGTTGTTTGAACTGGATCTTTGCAGGGTCATGAATTATAGTCCCTGTGGCTTTACCATTCCCTTGAACTTGGCTATTGTCATTAAAGGATCGTTGGAATGAACCTTCTGGACTGATATACTGTTAGATATCTGTAGCCCGTCCCAGGTTTGAGGTCTGAGGAGGGTTTTTTGTTTTTAGTCATCTTTCAGCATCTTTCCTTATTTCAAAATGTCTCACTATTTGAAAGATAATTTTCATATTTTGTGGTTTGTGGTTGTGGTTGTTTCCTTGTTTCATCAGAGAAGTTTTTTTCTTTTGGTATTTTTTGTTGTTTTCAGTGGGTTTTTGAGGGAAGGAGGGTAGTTTTAAAAATGTTCTCATTCTGCTGTCTTTTATAGAAATTCTCTAGTGATCCATTTTAGAATGTAAATTAGATGATGTCATTTATCTGCTTAAAATTCTTCAGTGACAGGAGAGTATAGCAATTAGAATAAATTTTGAAAGTCTTTATCATGACCCATGCAGTCATTTGGCCCCTGTTTTCCTCTGCAACATCATTTTGTTCCACTTTTGCTCACTTCCACTGTTGGCTTTTTTTAGCTCCTTAATAAGATTGTATTTTTTGTTTGTTTTATTTTACTCTTGCTGTCATTCATTTTATTCCTATTTTCAAATTTTACTTTCTCCTCTTTCCTCATTCCTCTTCATTTTTTAGGTCTAACTTAGAGCTTCCTCAGAGACACATTCTCTCATAGCACAATATAAATTATGTGCACTATGTTGATCTCTCTTGGTTACTTGTTCTTTTCTTCATATCACTAAATAAAATGCATATTATGTGTTTATTTGTTAATGGGTGTCTTTTTATCTCATTGTCAGCTCCAGGAGGCTTTGATTCTTACTAATGTTTATTGAGTAAGTGAATGAATCAATGAGTGAGTGAGCTATAAAAAGAAATTTATGTGCAAGACTTCCAAGATCAACCAGACATTACTATCTCTTACAAGTATTGGATACATTTGCTTCAGTATATTACCTTAGTAATAATAATATTGTAACTAACATTGAGAACTACTTGTGCTCCATGCATACCTTTAAAAAATTCCTCTATAATTTATGGTTAATTGCTCTATATCAGACATAATTACAAATATTTTATATACAATGACTTTAATGCCCACTATAATATCATCAATATTATAAAGATGAGAAAACCAAGTCTTAGCAAGATAGCTGACTTGTCTAAGGTCATTCAGCAAGTAAATGATTAAAGCATAATTTGATTCTAAATTGGGTGATTGCCATAGCATTGCTCTTAAACTGAATTATACTTTCTCTTAATAACTAATAATCTGAAAGTTAAAGTGCCTTTTCTAGTACTTCACTTATAGGAAATAATTCATAAAAAAGTCATATCATATAAAATTGCTTTTATTCCCTGGTTTCTAGGAAATGCCTATTAATAACTTATTCTCAAAGATATGGAAATGAAAAATTGTGAAGACAAGTTAAAATTTATTTTTACTTATTGCTAATTAATTCAAATATTTTAATCACAGCATAAATATACTTTTTCCCCCACCCCCACTTCCTAATATGAATGTAATAATTGCTTTTTCAGTGTGAATGTAGTAGTGTTTCTTTTGTCACAAAGTAGTGTGATAGGGCAGTAAACCAAACTAGATATTTTAATTTTGCATTGAGTTTTTTATTTTTAATTTTTATTTTAGAGGACTTAAAATCATCAGCTGTTAAGTTCTGAAGATTAAAGTAGAACCAGAACTAATTTGAAAAGAGTTTTAATTTTTTTTTTAATAAGTGAAAGTCAAGTTTTGATGGAAGCCAGTGATATAGTAGTAATTCTCAAAGTATTTGAAGAGTTCAGGATGGAGAATAGAAATATTATTTTTATGTGGTTGAAAGAGAAATATTACTTTTTTAATATTAAAGAATACTTGAAAAGTTTTTGTTAACTTAAGGGGTAGAAAAAGGCAAAATAAAAAGGAAAATGGACAGTTTGAAATATACAAAGAACATTAGAAAACTGAAAAATGACTGTAACATCAATAAAGGAGAAAGTTTCAAAGAGAAAAGTGCTACAGACAATGAAGATCAATAGGTCATGCTATCTGTTAATGGTAGGGCTAATATCTTAACCTTGACATGTTTAATATCAAAGTTCCTAGTGTTTTACTGCAGTAATGAATGAATATTTGTAAAACATTGTATATAAATGTAAAGCATAGCTGTATGTGTGCTCTGAGACCTCAAGAATAATGCCATGGCGGCAGAGTGCTCAGTAACAATGAAATGAATAGACAGATGAATGAATAAATATATAGTAATCATATCCTGAATGAATATTTATTCCTCCACCAGTTGATTGTTAAAGTAAGGTAAAAAAAGATAATATAAGACATAATATGTGGAAGCAAAGTAGTAGTTTCCTATTTCTTATTTGATATATTTCAGAAGTGACATTTAAAGAACTCAGAATACCTTAAAATTGATCTCTTTTTACATTTTTACTGTTTTTACTTAAAATTGATTTTGTTTTTACAAAACCATTTAGCTCTATTGTCCTCCTGGTATGCTGCATTTTGTGTAGGGCAGATATATTACTGAATATGCTAACTCAGCTGGTAAAGAATCTGTCTGTAATGCAGGAGACCTAGGTTCAACCCCTGGGTTGGGAAGATCCATGGAGAAGGGAATGGCTACCCACTCCAGTATGTTGACCTGGAGAATTCCTTGGACTGTGTATAGTCCATGGGTTCGGAAAGAGTTGGACACAACTGAGCAACTTTCACATACTAGAAGGATCTCATAGTAACAGTTTAACACATTACACAGATCTTAAGTCTTCTAAAAAAACATAAAATAGTCAGTGCTTTAGTTTTTTAAGGCAAGTCTTTTGAAATGTGTTTGGAAAAAAAACACAAAAAACCTGTAGTTGCTGGTCTCCAAACCCTAAATTGAATTCCTCCTTCAGTAGTAAAAGTAAATTTAGGTAAAAAACTACCCACAAAACTACTAGTTATGGTTCCTGTAAAAACCAGATACAGTGACCGTAACCATAAGTCATAGACTTCCTGCTGCCATATCTGACCAGATTAAAGAGGACATTTGAGTTTCAACTCTCAGTCCTGCTGATTAAGGTGAGGGGTTTCATATTATTTTAAAATCATCATCAGCTAGTAACTGGGGGCTAAAATAGAGCCCTGGAGTGAAATCTTCACAAGACTTGCGAGAAAGGATGTGTCTGTTATCATGTCTAATATCTCAGCATTTGTTTTCCAAGGGTCCCCCTGGCCCAGCAGGCATCCCAGGTCCATCAGGAAAGAGAGGTCCACGGGTAAGTGGATGGGCTGCATTTCTCACTTGCTGTTAGAGTTGGTAGCTTTCCAGTATGCTTTTCCTACTGTTGTACAGTCTGTACTTCCCCTGGAAATCCGCCTGGATTGTCAAACTTAGCATGGCCTTTGCCAATGCAAGAGGAGCTTGGGAACATGTGCCACTTATTTATTTGAGTGTAAACACCCAACCAAAGTAGTCTCTGTGAACATGCCCAAAAAGATAATCAAATTTGTAGATTAGTGATTGTTTTGGTGCTACTTGTAACATTATTCTTAGTTATAAAGTGATCTCATCTGTAGTTGATAGTCCAAGGTGGGGATCATTTACTTTGGGAAATGAAGAAGAATGGGCAGCCTTAAAATAGTGCATTCCTGGATTACATAGTGGAAAATACTGGAGTTATAAACTAAAAAAATAATTGTCCTGAGGAAAAAAGCTTCCTCAAGGATAGCAGTAGTTTTTCACATTAAACAAGTCCAGCAAAAGGTTTATTGCTGTGTTAGAATTCATTTCTTTCAACCCTCAAAAAAAAAAAATAAGTGAACTTTTACTAGCAGAAATTCTTCAAAGAGCTAGAAAAGGAATTGTGATTGTATGTTATAAAGACAAATGTAAACACCGTGTATAATCGACTTTCTTTCCTAATTTTTGCTTATCATGTAAACAAACTAATGTAAAACTCACCCTAAAATGCTAATGTAAATGGTCCATATTCACATCAAGCTCTTGTTGATGTGAGGCTCCAGATGAATGCTTACTCTGCTCTAGCTGTTTAACATTTGTTTTCTTTCTCTATACTTGATGACCTACCACGTTCCTCTCAAGAGTGTTTTCTAAACTTGTCCACTCTCCTCCAGCCAGCAAACCATTTCTGTCCTCCTCCTCTGTCAGGAGACCCTGGATTTTGCTTCCTGAGGGACCGAGTTCCCCTTTGCGTTAATTGCATTCCCTCTCCACTGCTAAGGCTGTTCTTCTACAACTTAACCTTTCCTCTCCCTAGATTTTATCTTATGTGGCAACAAACAGCAAGTTATCTTTTTTTTTTTTTTTTAAAGTCCCAGACTTTCACTGATGCTAATTTTTCCTAAAGTCGTTGTCCTTGCTCACTCTTGCACTAATGAGCTCTGTGGAATAATACTTTATACCTATTGGTCCCACATCTACATCAACAACTAATTTGTTAATCCTCATAAATTTTCCCACCTACTTTATTGAAAAATTTATTTTTGAAGACTACACAAATGAGAGATCATGAAATCTAATTTTTTCCCTTAATTTTCATCTTGCTAGATATACTTTCCATGTTTGCATTGCTATCACTCCTCCCCCTTCTGAAACACAATGCTCTGTTAATTCAGAAGTGAAACAAACATAAATATTAAGTATTTCTGTGTTAAGATAGAGGTATAACTGAAGGAAGAGTCTTCCTTCATAGTTCAGTTGGTAAAGAATCTTCATGCAGTGCAGGAGACTGAGTTCAATCCCTGGGTCAGGAAGATCCCCTGGAGGAGGAAATGGAAACCCACTCCAGTATTCTTGCCTGGGAAATCCTATGGACAGAGGAGCCTAGTAGGCTACAGTCCATATGCTCGCAAGAGTTGGACATGACTTAGCAAATAAACCACTACATAGCCGAAGGGTACAGAGGTGGGTTCCAAGCCCAAATGAGTATAGAAGTCTTGGAGACCTGAAAGGCTTTCTGGAGTTGAATCCTTGTTCTACTTGCTGGTTGTATGAACCTAAGTTTACCCATTTGTAAAGGGGAATAAATAACCACCCTGCAGGATTGTTATATGGATTAGTAATAATAATAATAATAATAAAAAGCAGGAACAAGTTACTTACATATAGTAGGTATTTAGTAAATAGAAGCAATTATTAAATTCAAATGGACAAATGCCACTTTTTTCTTAAATTTCCCATGCTGCATGGCTTGTGGGATCTCAGTTCTGCCACCAGGGATTAAAACTGGACCACAGGCACTGAAAGCACCGGATTCTAACCAATGGATCACCAGGGAATTCCCTAAATTGACAGATATTCATTGGGAGTCTGATATGTGCTAAGTACTATACTGGTAATATTAAAAACAGTTACCTTTCAAAGAATTTATAATCCTCGAACTAAACAGCACATGTCATGAAGAAGTTAAAATAGCAATAAAATATTAAAATAATAGAATTGTCCCAAGGCAGCATATAATTAATTGCAAATTAATTTTATATGTAGCAGTTTCTGTGGGATTGAGTAGTAAAGAGAAATCAGCTCATGCTGGTATAGCCAGGCTTTAAAGGTGGTATCTCAGTTGACACTTGAACATGATTTGAGCAGGTGTAGAAGGGGCAAGGTTAAATGAGGTAAGTCTTAAGGCACACATCATAGCATAAACAAAACCCAAGCGCAGAACGGGTTACTGGATGTTGAGAGGAGAGTAAAACAATTGCACTTTGTTATTTTGGGGCTTCTTACTCTGCACAACTTTTAGAAATAGCACTGAACAATGTGGCTGGAGATAGAAGTGGTAAATAAGGGACGTAAACCCCTCAAAGCAGTGTTTTGAAGCAAAAAACAGAAATCACAGTTCTGCTCTATAATCAGTGTCTTTTCTAACTGAAATATCCAAGACCTCAGAAGAGATAATGAACTTTGTAAAATAACATATCCATTTTAATGAATCATGTAATATTTATTTGAATGTTGTAATAAACACTTACTTGTATCTAGATCTAAGAATGATCTGACTTTTTTTTCTATTTGTAGGGCATACCAGGGCCACATGGAAATCCTGGATTACCTGGATTACCAGGTCCAAAGGTGAGTGCTTTGAATATCATGTGATTTTTCAGCACATTACTAAAGAAGGTCTTTAACTTTTAAAGTCAACCTTGGAATATCAGGAATCTCTGTCATCTCCAGAGCATGAGTCTTCAGCAAGATTGTCATAGGGTGGCAGATGGCCAGGTTCCTTGAGAGCCTACCATGTTTGGATTTATAAGTAGCCAGTGGTAAAGGCAAGCATGACCCTGCTTTGATATTCTAGTCTTTGTTGTCAAAATATGATGGCAATATATGGAAACCTCTGCAATGTACAGATTATGATTTGAGTACTTTACCTTAAATCAAGACTATTTTAATGCATAAATAAATACTGAGGAAATAAAACATCATTTATTTCCCTGTTTCATACTTCTCTAATATTTTCACTTGAAAAAGATCTATGAGGATAATGTTTATAGGATATACTCATATTTTTATGAAAAAAACTAACCTGAAAACCTGTAAAAATATGAGCATGCATAGTTGTATGCTAGTAGTGTGACAGATAGTAGTATGAGTATAGTAAAAACAGATGGAAGGATATGTACCAGGCTGGTTACCTTGACAGCAGGTATGGAATTGGAAATATAATTAAATATATATATCTATACACACACATGTACATGTGCGTGTAAGCATTAGGGTTTGGGTTGCCAGTGACATCATGAATATTTCAGGGTCATTAATAACCGCTCTGCTTATTAATTTTCTCACTCAAAAGTAACCAAATAGCTGTTACCATACAGATATAGGTTAAGATAGGATAGAGCTTAAGGACACAGGTTTTGGAATCTAACTGATTTGGATTCAAGTTTTAGCCCTTTTGATTTGTACACACTGTGCTTAGCCGTGTCTGAGTCTTTGTGACCTCATGGACTGTAGTCGGTCAGGCTCCTCTGTCCATAGAGATTCTCCAGGCAAGAATACTGGAGTGGGTTGCCATTTCTTTCTCCAGGGGATCTTCCCAACCCAGGGATTGATCCAGATCTCCCATATTGCAGGTGGATTCTCTACCATCTGAGCCACCAGGAAAGCCCCTTAATTTGTATGACTAGAAACAAATTACTTGCTTTGCCCCTTTAAGCATCATTTTCTTCTCCAAAACAGGGAAAACCATAGTATGTCCTCATAGGGCTGGAGTGAAGGCTAAATAAATTGTGAGCAAAGCCCTTTACAGTGCTAACACGTCATAAGTAATACCTTATTAATAATAAGTAATAATGACTCCCTCAGTTTCTCATCACTCTCAACAATTTTTTGAGTTTAATAAAAGGTCTCAGAAAAATGGCTTTTAACTACTTGATATGTACCAGAAAAAAAACAAATGCCTTCTAAAGAAATGAGAATTTTGTTTTTAAATTTGTGATTCTCTAGCCCTCCAAGCATTGTCTGGGGACTTCAGGGATATTTAGACTAGTGGAAGGCTAGTGTAGCCGTAAAGACCCAGCTCATGTTTCTCCACGGAGCTCAAGTTCTAGGGCACTTGCCATCCTACTAACAGCCTCATCGCCACAACTTGATGGAAGACAGAATAGAGGTGGGGTTTCCACATGGCCTGTGTCATCCTCTTTCCCTGCCTCAGCCAATAATAAACATATACTTGAAGAAATAAAAAAGATGGAGAGTAGGGTGAGGAGAGATGAAGACAGAAATAGTGGAAAGCCTTTGATTTCATTGACTTCTTAAAATGTGTGTACTTAGGAGAAAATACTTGAGAAAATGATGTCTGTGTCAAAAAAATTATCTTTGTCCAAAGATTAAAAACAGGGTATTTTTCAGTGTTGACTAATATGAATGTGTGCCTTCAGTAAAATGCCCTAGGAGAGATGAAGTTTTAATCTCAAGATTTCTCTTTAATATCATACTTAGTAGTATAAATATAACTTTGACTGTAACTATTTACCAATAACATATTATATGAACCCCTATATTAGGGATTTTGTAAGCTCTAATTAAAATTTGCAAGCAATTAATTGAATCTCTTGGGAACTTAATCATATAAACCTGAATATCAGTCTTAGTTTATATTTAAATTTAATAATTTGATAGCCATCTTCAAAACAGCCAAAACTGACCATGATTTGTTTTAACTGCACATATTTCTGGGGACATTAGATTGGATTTCCCTGGTGGCTCAGACAGTAAAGCATCTGCCTACAATGCAGGAGACCAGGGTTCAATCCCTGGGTCGGGAAGATCTCCTAGAGAAGGAAATGGCAACCCACTCCAGTATTCTTGCCTGGAAAATCTCATGGATGGTAGAACCTGGTAGGCTACAGTCCATGGGGTCACAAAGAGTCAGACACGACTGAGCAACTTCACTTTCACTTTAGATTGTGACAGGTATTAAAAATCACCACTGTGTTTTAAATGCATCAAGTAAGGCTAGTAGTATATGGTTTATGAAACCAATTTTCCTAGATATTTAACATTTTAAAGTAATATGTACTTTAAAGTAATCAGGGTTAATAGAACATTCAAGTTTTATACTTTGTAATCCTCTTATAGTATTTATTCAAGACAATGCAATAAATATGCAGATTTCATGCTCTCAAGGATAAATTTTTACATGTAATCACAGGATTTATTTTCCTTCAGGAACAAAGATCCCTCTTAGGTTAATGGATTTTTTAATTTTTTTTAACAGTATTAAGACATTTTCAGAATTTTTCTCTTTTCAGTTATTATTTAGCAAGAATAACATAGAATTATGGTCCTCTAAGAAAATTGTATAAAAAATCTTGCCACTTGTATAAGAAATTGCACATTTCAAAAGGGGTTACCTGAACCTGTGAAAAGACCAAATTAAGGCAATTGCAAGTTTAGAAAAATTTAACTGCAATGGAAAATGCAGTGCATTATGAAATGTTTATACAATCATATTTGGACTAATATATTTTATAAAAATTGTTAGAACTGATATCAACCAGGGTTCTTGGCCTTAACCAGTCAATAGAAATTTCAGATTCCTTATGTGGGGTGAGGAAATTGGTGTGTTCAGGGGTTGGAGCAGAGCGGTGACTTAGATGTTTTCTCACCCCTTTGGTGGTGCGTATAGTGAAAAAGTGAAAGTCCCTCTGTCATGGGCTATATACAGTCCTCATGGACTATACAATCCATGAAATTCTCCAGGCCAGAATACTGGAGTGGGTGTAGCTGTTCCCTTCTTGAGAGGATCTTCCCAACCCAGGGATTGAACCCAGGTCTCCCGCATTGCAGGCGGATTCTTTACCAGCTGAGCCACCAGGGAAGCCCAAGAATACTGGAGTGGGTAGCCTATCCCTTTTCGAGGCGGTCTTCCTGACCCACAAATTGAACTGGGGTCTCCTGCATTGCAGGTTGCGTATAGAGGTATATGCAATGCATTGCTTTTGCTCTGACCCCCTGTTTTGGCTCCCAGCTCTTCAGAAGTGGCAGTTGGGTGTTGGTTTTCTTTTTTCTTTTTGGTCTTTTTGCTTGTCCAGAGATGCAACTTTTACTGAAAATATCACATTTATTATTTGTTACATAAAACAAAAAGTCTCTTAAGAATGAATATACCGTAAGATAGTATAGAAATATGTTCTATTTATAAGGCTATTTTAAAGTTTATAAGAATAAAGTTTATTTTGCAAACATACTCTAGATTGATGCAAAATCTAACATTTTATTTTCTGTTATACTTTTACAATTAAGTTAGTATTTACCATCAAGGACAAAGAATGTAACTTATCTTTGGTGGTTCTCAACTCTGTTCAAGCAAAGTAAGTTTTCACATGTTTGTCTTCCTTAATGGATTCTGAGTTATTTGAATGCAGGGGCCAAATCTTATTCCTCTTTACCTTTGTATCTAGCCCAGTGCGTAGCATGTGTTAGGCATTCTATAAATGTTTAACTGAAGCAATAAACAGAACACGTTAGTAATAAGGCACCAGCATCATAAGGGAATAAGAACTAGCACTTACTGAGCATCTAGTATCAGTTGACAATATTTTATGTATGCCATCTCATTCAATTCCACTTCAATTAAGAGTACTATTCAGAGCAGGCTTTATTACCTTCTGCTTTCCATAGAAGAAAACATATTCAGAGAAGTAAGTACTTAACCAAGGTAACACAGTTTAACTGGCATCAGAATTAGATCTGTTTTACTCTTTACCTTACACCAATTTGTCTCTACTAGCATAGTGAGTGGTTCACTATGAACCTTGAATGCATGGAAACAGCACCTTAAGGAAAGATGAGGGCGGGGTAACCTAGTGTAATTAAAGATTTTCTGAATTCATTTAGTAATAGTAGCAAAATATGTCCATTCCAAGGTTCCAGCTAATCCTTTGGATGCTAATAAGATATAAATGCCATAAAGAGTGAAACTGAACTCTCATCCCTTAGAACTGTGTTGCTAAATTGCTAAATAGTAGAAGAACAAAATGCCACGCAAAAATTTTGTGGGTATATAACATTTTTCAGCAATATTAGAACTAATTTAAAATAGAGATAAACTATTGAGTTCTTTAGCTGAAATCAGTAGACTTCTGATAGAAATAGTGTTTTTCTTAAAAAAAATCTTTCTAAAAAAATATCAAGTGAATTCCGCTTCTCTATTTTCTAGAGAGAATAACTTTTTTCTTGCCACCAAATTCTATCTAGGTCCACAGTTCATCATATTTACTTATTTAATATAAACTTTATTTGCAGGTTGCTGGAAATTTTTATTACTATTAATTAATACATGATTGATTTTGCAGTAGATCTTCAGACATGAGTCCAAATGAAGAATCTATATCTTCAGCCTACTCTATACTTACAGTTCTAGTCCAGGCAATCTATTTGTGTCCAGATAATTTCTTTCCCAAAAATGCCTCTTAAAGTCTACTTAAAAACTTCCCATGAACGTTAATTAGTACCATATATTACTTTACTCAAGTTCAATAGCTCCTTCAAATTTAATCCCATTCAATGAAAACATCTAACCTTAGTAATCTGCTGTTAACAGTGTCCTGTTAGTATAGGCTTGG